GCTGCAAGGTGGAGAGGGTATAAAGAGGTCCTGAGGATGTCAGCTGCAGCATCAGGTTTTTTCCTGTTTAAATGGAATAGACCTTTCTAAAAATTGAAGAGTATTCAATCACTTTCAATATCACATTGTTACCTGTTTTTTAATTACATCTGACTAAGAACTAATCAGTCTGTGAGGAAAAGAATATTATAGATGGACTACTTAGTGTATATTTTCAATGTTAATATAGAAGGAAGAACATTTATGTAGCTCTAGCTGGTCATAGAGTTTGCTTAGGAAACTTCATCATGATGTATCTGATAGTTTTGTAATAATTATAAAGTTCTTCAATAGTAATTGTATTTTTACAGTAATATGCAAAATTTATGCAAACATAGGGAAGCCATTGCATGCACTTGTACAACATTAGAAGATTCTCAATTCTAAGTGAGGACTGACAATTCAATTTACTTAAACTTCAGAGGTAGCTCTCTTAACTTAGACATGGATTTAAGTACCTTGTGTTCTCATAGTAATACTGTGATCTAACCCTAAAATAATTTTACATAAAAAGCTTCTAATTAGTGCATTGGTTTGCTTTCGTTTATCATATCTGCTCATCCAGAATGCAGGGAGCCCTGTGCTTTAACGTGAAGTATGTAAATCAGCATTTCAAATGAACTGGGGCTGAGGGGTGTTGCATGAATGATAATTTTGGATCCCATGACATCCTTCTTGATTTACAGTGGGGAGGGGAAGGAAGAATGAACAAGTGTGCAAGGTCCCAATACACCTCAATATGAGGCTGATTTGGAGTCAAAGATGCTAGTCTTAAGGTTATTCCTATCACTATTTAAGTAGTCTCTTGAATATTTTTGTTTACCTTTAATTATTTAAAAAGTGAGGAGTCATTATACTGATATAACAAAACATTCAAGCATCGGCTGAATCTTTACTTGTGGAATGCTTACTTATTTGAAGTGAAACATAAAACTATACTAGTTAAACACTGCACAAATTAACTTGATCTCTTTTAGGTTTTTTGCCATACGTAGTTTTTACTTACTGAGGATATTCTTAGAATTCCACTTAGACATTCGAGGTAGCCTCCTGATCCAGATCTCTCCCTAAAAAAGGTGCCAAAGTGGATAGTTCTGGGTTCATGCTAAAGTTCCTAAGAATCACCAGCTATTCCTCCTTATGTTGACAAGACTTCAGGCAGTGCAGAAATCAAATGTAAGTTCATTAGGAAATGTGAAAGGGCTTTTACAAACATTTTTTAAAAAAAAAACCTCAAAAGTATATGCTTTAGATGGAAGTTGCAGCAGATCTTCTTCTGACTGTGTGGCTGTTCATTTATACGGCCAGATCATCCAGATTCTAGGGGCTGATTTATCTCCAGGCCTTGTTCTCTGCTGCATGGTTATGTACCCTGAATTTAGGGAAGGGTCTTCAGTGATGCTTTCTTTTTTTTTTTTTTTTTTTTTTTTTTAACTTGTATGAGTATTTTAAAATTTCTTTAGAATACAACAGAAGAAACAATTACAGTAGTGCAATTCTAAGATCTTAGCCTGGAACTGAGGTTTATAAACTCGTTCTAGTTCTTGAGTTCTTAAGGACTACAGTGTTGCCATCCCCAAAGTCCTATAAATCTGCTGAGTTTTAGAAATCAAATTTGTACATATGTACGCACTCACGTTTATCTATACACAGAGAGCTTATCAGGATAACAGTTCCCAGCAGAGAGCACTTCAGAATGTACAACAGCAGAATTTCAACATCTTATTTTACCAGAATAGGTACACATATTTCATAGTACGAGATCTTGCAGATCCACTCTATTTTCTTCAAGGGTTCTTGTTTCCCTGTGGACTGTAAAGTGTAGTAAGTCTGCTGCCTAAAAGTGCAGGTACAAGTGTGCTCTCATTCATCTGTGCCATGATACAGTATAGCTTAATATCTTCTGCAGACAAATGTGACGGTGTGGGAACTACTTTTTTTTGGAGGGGGGGTGGGGGCAAAGCCCATACAAAATTCAAAGGCAGCATGCAGATAAATATCAGTATGCCTGCAGAATCCCCAGGTGCACAGTGCCAGGGACTGCTGTACTACTTGCTGCCTCTAAACAGGGGTGTTTGGCACCTCATGCGCAGGCAGAAGTCAGATCACACAGCAAAAACTCTCATAAGATATGGAGCAGGGTCCTGACGTTTCCAAACCAGGGCATCTCCTCTGCATAAGGGAGCCCTTGCTGACTTTTATCAAAAGCATATTGAATGAAAGTAGCACCGGTATGCTCAGCCTTGCAAAGCAGTGCTTGACTGACACTAGTACTATGGAATTGAGATCTAATTGCTTCCAAGATGGGGAACAGATGTCTAATTTGGTCATTGCTGCATCTCCTACTGCCATTCACAAATGAAACAAATACATTAAAAGAAAACCAAAGCAGGTGTAGTTATGCACATAGTGAAATGGTTACATTCATTAGTTTAATTCAATAAATTACTTATTTTTAGGCTTTTTAAAGATTCATTCATGTCTTCCAATTTGAATATCTTTGAGTCCCTTCCCTCCAACATCTCCATCAACCCAAGAAAACATTTCCTCTTACTTCACTTCAAGATGTGATATACAAAAAGATGGATTAACACTAGTAGCTGAGTAATTTATTTTTTTAAAACTTGAAACCAAGCTAGATGTTCCAAACCGCTGAACACCATTCCAAAACATTGAAGGGTCCAGTCAGTAAGACTGGAGGCTTAAACTGGAGTAAGCTGAAGCCATACAACCAATAGTGAATTCAGAGACAAGTGGGCAACAAATTCCAAGGTAAGCAAAAATATTGATCTATTGTTGTATCTCTGTATTTTTCCACACATTTAACTGATGCTTTGTTAAGACTTGCTTATAATGCTCATTGTTAAGCATGAGAAATAACCATCAGAAAGAGTTTTTGGAAGACATACTGTCTGTTTAAAGTGCTCACACATCACTTATGTAGCAAATATTAATTCAAACAACTTTCTAGTTTCAATTTTATGTGTATTTGTGTGACTGAAAAAGGATCTTGGTGCAATTACTGTTAAGTCTAGTTCTGTGGAAAGCCTGCTGTATTGGACTGCAAGTCACAATTTCCATAGTAATTGGCTCTGAAACCTTAACTCTCAACACATCAGAGGTTTGCCAGTGTGAACTGTCAGATTGGCTCAGCCTACTTGGTTATTAGAGGTCAACGTGTGCATCAGTGCTTGTGTATTCAAAATTAGAGTTGTGTGATTTTTAAGGAAAATTGATTCAGAAGGGAACAGTTGCAAGGTGTTCCTTAACTCTGCTTTTTTAAACACAATTTGTCAGCGTAACACTTTAAGATATACTATTTCTAATGGAACAGGTGGAGATTTTCCAGCTTAATGAACCCTCCAAGCAGCTGGTTTTGCTTTCCTTTTTTTTAAAAAAAAAAACCCAAAACAAAAAACAACACCCAAAACAAACAAACAAAAACAACAAAAAAAAAACACCAAAAAAAACCCACACAGCCTTAGAACTTGAGGACTTAGTGTGTATGTTGGGCTGCAAGGTTTGGACTGTCTCCTAGCTATGAATGCCTTATGCTCTTATGTGAAAGTAGAACAGAAATGTTATTGAGCCTAATTTGGGATTGGGAGTATTATTAAGAGATATGTAGAGCATAGAGAAAAAATGGGCAACTTCCACTTTTTTAATTGTAGTTATGCTACAGTAAAACTGGACTAACATGATAAATCAAGATTTCTAGAATCTTTCACTGATATCAAGAATCCATGTTTTTTTGACTGTCTGATCTCTACCATTAGTCATAACTTGCTTTAATATTGAAAGTGGGTTTTTTAACTGGAATATGACTGCAGGAAGGAAGACACTTGACTGAGGCACAATGAAGCCACATGGGCAAGTCTTTGTCTGCCTTTAACAATTCTTTGAATTTGATTCTAAATAGCTTCTACAACTACCATTGATCCAAAACCCATCAAAGGCAACAGAAAGGTTACTGCAGGACTTAGAGGGCTTTGAATCAGGTCATAAGAGCTGGAAAAACAAATACTCCTTTTCTGCAAAAAGCATTTCCACCAACTTTAACATGTAATATGAGCACATATTTCTACATGCTTATAGGACTGGCTTCAGTGACATAAAGACGAAATATTTTCAAAGCTAGTGAAACAGAAAGAGGAGAAAACAACTCTTATACTGTGCACAAGTCAAGAATAGGTATGAGCAAGGCAGTAAGAACCACTGCATATAGCTTGGATTTAGTTTGTCAACACTTTATTGTCAGGTTTCCATAACTTCATAAAACATAATCTATTTTTTTTTAGTGTGCGTGGTTGTATTTCTGATAACTATACTACCTCACAACAAACTGAAAGATAGAAGTAGGTTGAGAACAAATAAATGGGAAAGCAATTCCTTGGTTTCTCCTGCCCAACACACTTCTGTTCAATTACAATTTTTATGTAATTTCTCATTCCATTTATTTTAATGGGAACATTTGTCTTACCTTCCAGGAAACCTGATGGCAACAACATACAGTAATTCAGTTTTACATGGACCTTGTGTACTGGCACTGTTCCTTATAGAAGAAATGCCTAGATTTGATTAAGGATGGAAAAAAAATGCAAATTTTGTGAACTTTGCATGTTTGTGTATAGATGTACACACATGTTTCACTTGGGTTATTAGTTTCACTGTTCTACCAAAGAACAGAATTTGGCATGTTGACTTTAAGTCTATCAAGAACAGAAAACTCCTTTCTATCTGTAAGTGATTATTCAGCAATGTCTTTGTTACTGAGTAGTCCAGTTATATTTGCCCAGGAACATCCCATTGGCTTAAGGAAAATAAGCTGTATAGATTTGTGTTCCTGAAAGGACAAGTCCCAGTAAAAGCTCATAAGTGTTAGCCATGCCAGGGGCTCAGTCCTCACTCCAGAGAACACTTTCATGGAGGTCAGAACTGCTGTCTAGTGTACATGGAAACTTATGTATGAGAAAGTTCTTGTGCTTAAAAAAAGTGCCATTGATGAACCAATAGCAGATGATGGTATAGACCTTGTACTAAACCAGAGAAGTGTACTTGGTCTCCCTAGGCACTTTTATATTTAAGTATGTGTTGATGTTGATAAAGATATTGGAACACACCTAAGAATGGAAAAAAAAAAATCCTATTTTATGGTAGTTAAGAGTGGGTAAGCAATTAATTTTCATGCACAGTGGGACTCAATAAATTGCTGATATTTTCCTGAAGAATTAGAGGGGGAAAAAAAAAAAAGACAACCCATGAAATCATAAAGCTTTAAGCAACTTGTCCCTTTAATGAAACAGTAGGCTAAATGTCAAAAATGTAGTAATGCCAACAGAAACCTTTTTTTTTTTTTTTTTTTTTTTTTTTTTTTTTTTTTTT